ACAGCTATACAAACTAAATTTTTTTCAATTATCTCAAACCTAGGTCAAAGATTTACCTCTCAAAACATAAACTTTTAAAACTTTTGTCAAGCTTGAATGGTGCCAAATGGGTTAGTCTACAATAAAATTATAAGGGTAAATATTAATATTCTTATTTAAATAATTTTCACATTTTAATCGACCGTTCAAACTCACACACAATACTATCTCCTACTATTCAACATATCTATTAGATTTATTAGATTCTCACAGCTCACATTGTTATTAACGAGCTATTGAACACCATTAATGGCTATTAAACAATCCTAACCATCATCATAAGTGCAATTTTTGGATCTTAATAGCCCTTATTAACCAATAACACTTAAAACCTTTAATACTAGATTTAAATAACCTAAACAACTCTCATTAACTCTATTTTAGTCAATGGGTTTAAACTCATAATTCATATGAATCAAAAATCAACTCTCAAATACAAAACCTAACTCAAAAGCTTAAGAAAATTGACTAGGAAGGAAAAAAGGATATGTTAAAAGACTTACTCTTAAGGTTTTCTAGCCTCAAAATGCCTCAAACCTTCTTAAAATCAAAGTCCTATTAGAGCAAAGACGAGCTTCATCATTTTCTCCTTCTTACTCTCTATTTGTCACATCAGTTTTGCATCTTATTTCTTTTAAAAATGTATTGTGTTTCGCAGCATGTGGTACATAAAGGTAAATTGTGTGTTTTGGTGGCTCATGCACTGCGGCATTTGGCACAGAGCCATTTCCTTTTATTTCTCTCACTTTTTAACATTCTGGTGGCCTGACTTTGCTTCAGACTCAATCTTAGGGCTGAAATTACAAACCAAAGCACTTATTAGCTCTTTGTAACCATACACAACATATATTTACTTAATTATCTTTAATTATTCAATTAATTAGGGGTTAAATTCTCTAACATATTATAGATAGTGTGCCAAGAACCTCAATTGATTGCTGTACTAATGGATTGTGATAGACGCTCTATACAAAGAATAAAAACATAAGGCAAAAAGGGGTCACCTTAATGAATACCCCTCTGTGGAGGGAAACTACTAGTGGGATTCCCATTCCAAAGAACTTGTATCGAAGGAGTAGTAATACACTCCATAATTAGACTAATTAGAGTTAGGGGTAGGCCAATATCCAGTAAAGTGTCATATATAAAGTCCCATTATAGTTTGTCAAAAGCTTTCTCTAAATCATCTTTCACTGCCATATAACCATATTTGGTTCTTTTTTTCCTCATAAGATGAATGACCTTTTGTGTAATAATTATATTATCAACAATATTATGGATTTGGATAAAGCTAGTTTGAAAAGGCAGAGTGATTTGAGGCATAATCTCACTTAAGTAATTGGCTATTATTGTGGTAATCGCCTTATAAATAATAGGGTAAAAGCTACTTGGATGAAACTTTTTAAGGTATTGGGGCTTGTGATTTTTTAGAATTAGATTTATAAGAGTTTGGTTCAGTAAAGGATCAGGAGGTTTATCGCGCCAAAAATCCTTAATGTACTAGAAAAGATTTTGGCCAATTATCCCCCATTGGTTTTGAAAGAGAAAAGCATGCAAGCGATCAATCCTAGAGACTTTGGGAGGTTTCATAGCAAAAAGAGCTTTTTTAACTTTATTAAAGGAGACTATTTTATGAAGATTCACAAATAAAGGAGCCAAGAGCTTAGGGAAAGTACCTGTGATCATGTAGGGTATGAAATTGGCATCATCCAGGCTGTAAGGATTTTGAAAGAATTCCTGAGCCAAGTATAGAAGTTGTTGTGGGTCTTTGATCCATTCCCTCTGGAGAGCGAAGTTGGGTTATGTGATTTCTTCATCTTTGAATAAGTTCCTTATTGTGTTAAAAGGTTGTGTTCCTATCTTCCAAATAGATCTAATTAGTTGATGATTTTTAGAGCCAGAGAAGCTCCTCTCGTAAACAAATATTTTCATACACCTCTCTTAGACATTGGTTAAGGTCTAAGAGAGAATTCGAGAAGGGAGAAGATTTAAGCTTTCGTTGCACCCCTGCTAATCTTGCCAAAGTTCTCTCTTTATGCTCCCTGATACTATTAAAGTTTGAGTGTTCTACTATATAGCTTGATGGGAGAAAACCTCGACGTTTTTAAGTGTACTTCTCGCTGGATCCCAACAACGTTTAACAAAAGCATTAAAATCTTTGTTTGCAGGCTTATGTTACCTTTGTATACCCAATTGAACTACAATAGGTCTATGGTTATATATAAGCTTTGGCAAGTGATAAACCCAACTTGTATTATGTGAATTGAGCTAAATTTGATTGCAAAAGGCCCTATTTAAGCAGACCATGAGTGTGCCTCTTCTCCATGTATATTTTAGGCCATTATAACCTAAGTCAATAAGGCCATGTTAGTTCATGAAATTTTTAAATAAATTGTGGACATGATTTATTCTTCCAGTGCTTCCCCCTGTATGCTTATCACTATTGATTATGGCATTAAAATTGCTAACAAGTAGCTAAAGGACATTTGGATCAATCATTACTTGAGTTAAATCTTGCCAGAAAAATTTCCTATACCTTTCTTGTAGACTTGTTTAGATTGCTGAGAAGAGGAATTTTCTTTCATGGGAAAGAAAATCAACTTCTATGTGAATGAACTGACATGTTAATTCTTACATTGTCCATCTAAAGGACCCAAATACTTTTAAAAAAGCTTGAAGCTTCTACTTGGTATGAGGAGAATCCAAGCTTTTTAATGATTGTATCTGCCTTTGCTCTTGAAATTTAAGGTTCTATAATGACAAGAATGTCAGTTTGTAATTAGCCACAAAAGAAATAGTGATTGAAGGAAACCTTTTATCTCAGGCTCCTTGATAATTCCAAACAAAAATAGACAAACACAAGAGAAGATTGTTGCTCAAAAGCCGAGCTAAAGTCAACTCCTTCTACCGACTTGGCAATAGCCTCGTCATTAATTATCTACCTGCTTTTAGCAATTTCTTTTAAAGCTCGAACTAAAGGTCGTGAGGGTTTTCATTGGGCCTACCACCTAAGCTCTTTATTGTAAGCCTGGAAGATAGGTGAATGCCTCTTTTACCTGCTATTAGGTTGAGTGGCTTTGGTTAAAAATTAACTCATCCATTGTCATTATTATTAGCCTCACTATTGCGTGGTAAGCCTAAAGTTTGACCAAGAGTTGAGCTTTATTGAAACTTTAGTGGCATTCTTGGATCTTGCACTATAACTTCCTAGCTACATGATTTGTCTAAGTTTGAGCCCCCTTACATAGCCTAATAACTAGGTTCATTAAAAATACAATCATTGTTGTGTGTTGCGGTGTTACCATTAGATGGTCACTTTTCAATGAACTTTGGTAGAGCCCTTGTCTCTTTTACTTTTAGGTTTAGTGTAGTTTGCATTTTTGCATTTTGTAGCTCTTGACATGATTGTACACTTGGTGGCTTCGCTCCTTAACCGTTGTTACCTCATTTAGTATATCAAACCTGAAAGAGGTGGCTATTCTTTGGCATGTTATGGCCTCCTCTCTCTGTCTCCTTTGGTTGCTCTTGAGTATGCTAGTACACATTTGCATGCAGGTTGCCACAGTCTACTACTGTATCTATGTTTAGGCTTTAGTGCATGCATCCATTCACCATATTTCAAATCTATAAGCATATGTAGGAGTTCAATTTCCTCACATGCCACCTAATGCTAATTCCATTCAATAGAAGTTGGCGTCTTCTCCGAGTAGGCATCATACAGATGGCCATAACATCCATTGTAGTAGCAGATTAAAGGGAGATTCTTATACTTCATATATATAAGCTCACTATCAACTTGGATCTTTAAAATAAGGGCTTTATGAAATCAATAATGACAACTAGTCGAGCAAATTTTTCTCTATCACTGGAGCTTGTGTTGTAATCTATTCTGATGACTTCCCCAAAAAATGCTTCTAATGGATTTGATAATATTCTTATGGTTATAATAATCTTTTAAACTAGGCAATCTAATCTAACTAATAACTTGATTAATGACGTGATCCTTCGGTTTAAAGCTTGATGTCCATGGTTGCATCGTCAAATAACGTCCATAAACCAACTAAGGGCTGCTAAGCAAGACCTTCTAAAAATCCAATTCTTCCTTAAACTTAATGATAAAACAACCTTCTTGTAAATCTATAAGTTGAAACTGGCTAGTATGTTTTTATACATTCTGTAATTGTGTTCCCAGTTTTCTATAGCCCATCAGTCATCTCAGTAGCTTCACTACCACAGCAAACCCCATTCTTATAGTTAAGAACTTCTAAAACTTTATTCGAGAAATTAATCGTCAGTATCCCATCATTCATTCCTATCCTCACATCCTCCTTTTACAGCTTTATATCATCCTCCTCTTCCATCTTGCTACTCGCACTTATAAGCTCATCTTTGAAAGAGGGAACGCTTACTTCAGGTTGACTTTCATTGGCCTTTTGCTGGGCTTTGTTGATGGCAGGTTGAGCTTCAATAATGGCAAGGCAAATTGCCTTCTCTGCAAGCTGTTATTCATCTGTGTTCATGAGAACTTCAATATTCTCCTTTGTCTCAGGAACCATCCTAAGGGTTGGTGTGGTGGAGACATGTGGTTAATCATTAAAAATGAACTCACCATTAGACTCGAGGATATCAGCATCCATAGCATCATTTTCACTTGCATCATCTTCTCAAATTTTAACTTTCTTCATGGATCGATCATCTGGGTGCAGTGGTGGTTCATCTTTGGGGTAGCTTGCGAAGGAGGTGGAGCTTTTTGCCACATTTCCTCTCTTGTATTTTCTTTTAACCAGTTTTTAAACTTACAAACTATAGTTTAAAAATGAAATGCCAAACTGAAAATAAAAGAATGTACCAAAAGAGAGGGCAAGTTGGGAACTATACTTAGCTTGTAGGCCAGGGGTAAGTAAAAAGGACGAAGTCGTGGCGAAGGAATAATTGGGGATTTCTGGGAGGTAGGTGAGTCGAGACGCGATACAGAGGGGCAATATCGTCCCACCGGGAAGCAGCCCTTCAGCAGTGGTCCGTACATTCACTAAACGGCAACACGGATCTTGCATTCTCTCCATTGTTTCCCCCTGGTCGTTGCTGAACCGGGCCCAACCGAGCCGTAACCATGGGAGTCCCAGCCTTCTACAGGTGGCTTGCCGACCGCTATCCACTCTCGATTTCCGATGTAGTCGAAGAAGAGCCCGCCGCCGGCGACGCCGGTGTTTCATGCCCTGTGGATGTGTCGAAACCTAATCCCAATGGCATGGAGTTCGACAACTTGTACTTGGACATGAACGGTATCATTCACCCTTGTTTCCACCCCGATGGCAAGGTACATGCTCCAGCTCAACTCACTTTTATCTCTTTCTTTTGTTCCCCCAATCACATGTTAATTTGTTCTCCTTCGTTTGAATCTGCAAATTTGCATGTCATTCACATTTTATAGAGAGGCTAGAAAAGGCTTTTATGGGATTAAGTTTCCTATACCTTAGAAGTGGAGTTGTGGAATTTTTCTTTCTCTTGCAACACCTCTCAATGACTATGCCTTTTCATCTGCTGTGTTTCTTCCATATCGTAATTCTCATGGTAATGCCCGCTTCTTTGGTCCAAGAAAGTCGGTAAATACAGCTAATGCTAAACTAAATTCGGGATACAGAGGGCAGGACTTTCTAATAGGATTTATTTTATTTATCCCGTATTCTGTCTAGAAGCAAGCACACCCTCGTTCCATTCATGGTGGTGAAATTTCTGTTTCAACTTCCTAACGCATGATCACATGACTAGGGTAGAAGAACCTCATAAAAGACCATGGTCTCAGGATTTTTAGAGGACCACAACGCTAAGAGATTGATTACAAACGGGTCTAGTTTATGTTGTCACGGAAATGCTATAGTTGGCGGGTTTGTTTATCCTAACAAATAATTGTCAGTTGACAATATGGTGACATGATTTATGAAGTGATTTCTGTCAACTTGCATTGTTGTTTTAAAAATTGCGTTGTTTCTGATAAGTCTCTTATTGCAGCCTGCACCTGCTACCTATGATGATGTATTTAAATCAATATTTGATTATATTGACCATATCTTTTCGTTGGTTCGCCCGAGGAAGCTTCTCTATCTTGCAATTGGTATGATGAATGTGTTTATTTCTTCCAAATTTATTTCTAATGTAATCCTTTGCTGGAGTATTACATTTCTGTTGTCGGATCTATTATAAGTCCAATGAATACGAGAACTTTATGTCAAAGAGCCAAATAATCTTTTCATCTCTTTTCAATGTTGACTAATCGGGCCTATTACTGGATCTGTATGTTCTGTGCATTTTAAATTTGGTGAAAATTTAACATGTAAAATACTCAGATGTGTTTGGAAAATTATATCAAAGAACCAAGATTTAAAGTGCTTTATATATCCCCATTCTACAAGTGGGCAATCTCTGCATCTTTCCCAAACGCTAAGGCTGTTGATTCTGTGGGGTCAATAACTGCTAGTTCTCTTTTTCTTCCGCATTTAAGATGGTTAGAGGAAAGACAGGTTGCTTATTAAGTCAGCATATTTGAATCATGTATATTTAAATTTGCTTCTTTTAAGGATGTAGTCAAGGTACAACATATCAAAGAGTTGGCTGTTTTTTAAGAGGATTAGTTTGATCACATGAATGCTGTCTTGTTGAAAATTATCTTGGATGAACTTGGGTTTGGTCCAAAGAAGCCCATAGTGTTATTCTGTGATAATATGGCAGCTATTGAGACTGCTAATAATCTAGCGCAATGTGATCAAATTGGGCATGTTGGGCTTGATAAGAAATTAGGAACTATATTCAAGATAATCTTGGTTCAGGCACTATATACTAGAAGCTCAGACCATTGACTAGTTGGCTGACATTATGACTGATGCTGTTCCTAGCAAATCTCTATTTCCATCACCACCAAGTTGGGTGTGTGTGATATTTATGCACCAACTTGAGGGGCTGAGCTAGCAAGTAGTTAGGCTGTCAATTAATTCAGGATATTTGAATTATGTATCTTTAAATTTTCCTTTTTTAAGGAGGTTTTTAGGAAGATATTCTTTTTATCTAGTCCTTATTTAGGAGGGGTAGTTGACCACCCAAGGGACACTTGTATATATCACTTCCTCTCTTTACCCCTTTCTTTTCATGTGCACTTCTTTTCCCACCTTGTCAAAATTAGCATCAATTCCTTATTCCATATCTTGCAGACGGTGTTGCACCAAGAGCCAAAATGAATCAGCAGCGTTCTCGGCGCTTCAGAGCAGCAAAGGATGCAGCTGAAGCTGTAAGATACCATGCTTATGTTATTACAATGGTTCTTTTATTTTCATGATGAACTTTTTGAACCTACGGTGTTTTTATGTGTGAAACTGAAGGAAGCTGAAGAAGAAAGGCTGAGAAAAGAATTTGAGGCTGTGGGAGAGCTTTTATCTTCTAAGGACAAGCCTGAAACGTTTGACTCAAATGTCATCACTCCTGGCACTCAATTTATGGCGGTGCTGTCTGTGGCCCTTCAGTATTATATACAGACTAGATTGAATCATAACCCTGGCTGGCGGAATACAAAGGTGCTACTAATTTAATGCCATGTAGTTTTTACTTCCCTTGGTCCTTTCTAGAGTGAATGATGTGTTTTTTGTTGAGTAATTGTTTCCAAGTTTTTCCTTTGAAAAAAAAAAAAGAAACTTTTATGATCCTTTTTTCCATTTATTTTACTTATGGGGCTGCATTGGGTGATCATTTGAAGGTTATACTTTCTGATTCAAATGTCCCTGGTGAGGGAGAACATAAAATCATTCAATACATTCGACTTCAACGTAACCTTCCTGGTTTTAATCCAAACACTCGCCATTGTTTGTATGGGTTGGTGAGTAGTTTTTATTGTATCTGATTTTTGTTTTTTGGTACTTTCCTTGACTTGTACATGGCATGGTCTTTGAATCAGGATGCTGATTTGATTATGCTCTCTTTAGCAACTCATGAGGTTCACTTTTCAATATTGAGGGAGGTTAGTTTCTAATTAATCATTATGATGGTATTAGCTCATTGATCTCTGGTTAGTCTATATGATTACCTGGGTACACACTGCACAGGTGGTTACTCTTCCTGGACAACAGGAGAAGTGTTTTTCATGTGGCCAAGCTGGTCATCTTGCAGCTGATTGTCGAAATAAACCTGGTGATGATGCTGAGGATTGGAATCCGCTAGATGATACCCCAATTCACAAGAAAAAATACCAGGTTGGAAGAGTGATGCTTCACATCTTGAGCTGAATCTTTTACTTTCTATACTTGGAATTTAAATTAACTTATCCCTTGCACACAGTTTCTTAATATCTGGGTACTACGGGAATACTTGCAATATGAATTGGATATACCAAACCCGCCTTTTGAGATTGACTTCGAATGCTTAGTGGATGATTTTGTTTTTCTATGCTTCTTTGTTGGCAATGACTTTCTTCCACACATGCCGACATTAGAGATCAGGGAGGTAAGCAACTGGCAGAACTTTTCTTTGAGTTATTACCTGCAACAGAAGATATCTCTAGTCTGTTGGCTGCTTGTTTCTTTATAGTGATTTCCTAGTGCTGTGTATTTTTCTTTCTACCAAATTGCTTATGCTGCTGCTTTCTAACTTTGTACTGATTCAGGGGGCTATAAATTTACTGATGCATATTTATAGACGGGAATTCACTGCCATGGGTGGTTATCTTACTGAAGCTGGTGAGGTAAATTTCTCTCTTTTTAAAGTTCATCTAATTTCTTCTCGAGCTATCATATTTTATTATCTTGTGATTTAGAATCAACTCATAAGCAGTCAGTCTGGAAGTCTTTTCCTTTTCCATGATTGTTTCTATTTGAATCTTTATTTGTCAGGTCTTCTTGGATAGAGTGGAACATTTTATCCAAGCTGTTGCTGTTTATGAAGATCAAATTTTTCAGAAACGAGTTCGAATTCAGCTGGTATTCTGCTTTTTCTATTTATTTTTTATTTCTCGGAGGTCTTACTGTCATAATTTTTTTTATACTTATAGTTCTTGGCTCTCTGAATCCTTGTGCTAATTATTATTGTGAGCTTTTGCACTGGATTTCTACTATTTCCATGGTTTTATACCTCCTTAGATGGTTTATTTGGCTTGACATACAGCGAGAAAGTTATTGTGTGGTCTGTTTATATTATTGTGCAAACTCCTTGTTTGTTCCATCTACCTTCTTTGTACTTTTAGATCTTTATTTTAGAAGTAAAACACCTCATGCCTAGCTTTATTTTATCTACCAATTCTGATCTTGTTAAGAATTTGAGTTAACTACTGTTATTTATATGCTTGAAAAGTCCAGTAGTGTTATTGGCAAGTATAATTGAGAACTTCCTTGGTGATTATACTGCTTACTGACTAAATACAAAGTTGCATTAAGCAGATGCGGAGTGCCTGTACTTGCTTTGAATGTTGCTGGCATTTGATTTAGTTGCATTATTAATTGCTCTAAGAGTGAGACAATCAAATCTTTCTAATTATTTGTTGAGTGGAGGAAAGGACAGCTGGCAGAATTCAGTGTTCGGACAGATTTTTTAACAAGGGCGTTTTTGCAAAAAGCACTGGGGGATAATCCATTGTTCACTTCTCATATAAATTGGTTGCAGACTCATTCTCACTGATGTAGTTTTCAACATGCGCACAGCCACACGTGCAATTATCTATTCTTTTGGTCCTGCTCATAATATGTTAATCAAGAAGTGCTACTAATACTTCACAATTTATATTGTAATTTCAGACTTTTCTCGATGTTCGTTAAATATTTTTTATGAACTTATGCGTGTAAGCTTTCTTTTCCTTTCCGATGCCATATACAGGCTGCAGAAAGTAATGAAGAGATGAAAGCTAGGGCAAGAGGGGAAATGCCTGAAGAGCCACGGGCCTCTGCTGTTGATAAGGTTAAATGATTTGTTTCCAGGACATTTCCAGCATTTTGATTTGATGATCTTTAGTATTGATGTTACTGACATTACAAGGGTATTACATCTGGGAATTGGTAACATTTAGAAAGCATTTTCTCTTAGAACTTAGAAGTGAGTTTGGTTGGAGAGCTTGAATATTTTTTTAATCCTTCCTGGTTGCTTTTGTGATTCCACAAAAAATTATATTTGGTATATTGCAGGATTCCATATGGAGAGTTTCTTGTGCTTGAAGCATTTACCCCTCCCTCCCCACTACTTGCTTTAATCATGTACAGACAACACAAGAAAAAAAATCTAGTGTTTGTTTTGAAGTAAACTATGCTTGGATTCATCATGAAATAAAGTGGCCTTATGCTTGAGGCTCTTTTGGAACAGCTTGATAGTATTTTTTTAATACTCCCAAGAAATGATCGTTCTTTTTCTTTGTAATTAGAATATTATGCTTTTGTGATTATATGGTCTGCATTTTTAAGATTAGAAGGATTTGTTTGTGAAATTTGTTTTCCAAAGCTGGGCGATTGTTTGAATATTACATGTCTTATGACTTTAGCTATCTAGAATTGCTGTCAAAATTCTTTTGTTGTTAACTGTTTATTGTTTTCTCAGGTTAGGTTAGGGGAGCCTGGATACAAGGAAAGGTATTATGCTGAAAAGTTTGGTGTGTCAGGGCTGGAGGAGATTGACAAGATCAAGAAAGATGTAGTGAGTTCTATTATCAATCTTTGTGGCTTCAAAGTTCATATTTGGCTAATAAACTTAATATGCTCTTTTGTTGTTTTACGGATTCCATCTCTCGCCCTCCCCCTTCCCCAAAAAATTTGCACATGCAACAGGATGCATGCAGGAGACATACACATGCTACAGATTTGATATTAACTTCCTAATTGTTGGCTGTATTTGTTGGGTTCTAACTTCTAAATATTTCTCTGTTTTGATAATCAAACCTGCACAAGTTTCATGCTTTCTTGTTTTTTTTTTTTAATCATTCATGTTATATTAGAAGACGGTTAATTCTCCTAGATATCTTGTTCAGGTTTTGAAGTATGTGGAAGGCCTTTGTTGGGTTTGCCGATACTACTATCAGGGTGTTTGCTCATGGCAATGGTTAGTTTGACTTTTATTACTTGTGAACTGTATGTGCTATCTTGCTCTTGCTATGTTTTCCCTTATCAGCTTGTTGGGTTGCTAGGTTTACATATGTAATATAGCCACTAGCACTCCTCTTTGTTTGCTTGGATGATTGAATATTGTTGGACCTTTTCTCGTGCATGAAGCTTACTCTTCTCCAAACCTAGTTGTTTACTGTTTCTGAATTTTCTTTCCTTCAATCTATTCTGGAATAGTTTGGAGGCTTGTATGGTTGGAAACTTGGAATATGAGCTTTTATCTGAAAGATGACGAGGCAGTTACAAAAATGTCACTTTGTTTTCACAGCTATACTAGATTGATTGTCTGACACTGTCTTGATGAATGTCTGGTGCATGTTGCTTTTACTATAAATGATAATTTTTGCCATTTCTATACCTGTTGAAACTCAGAGCTCTACTTTTGAGGACTTCTTTCTAAGAGCAAGGCTATTTTTGAGTTGCTTTAAGACAAATGACAAGAACTGTTAGAAGATTGGCTTTTTTGATGAAATATCACTTGTGACTGCTATTAAACCTCTCTCTGATTGTTGTTACAGGTACTACCCATACCACTATGCTCCTTTTGCTTCTGATCTTAAAGATCTAGCTGATCTGGAAATAACTTTTTTCTTAGGAGAACCATTTAAGCCATTTGATCAGCTTATGGGGACCTTACCTGCTTCAAGGTTTCTTCCCCCTTCCTGTCGATAGATCTTTTCTGTTGCACTTCCTATTCTGATATATATGCTCATCACTTACTTGTTACAGTTCAAATGCACTGCCTGAAAAATATAGAAATTTAATGACTGATCCTTCATCGCCTATTTTTGACTTCTATCCTGCTGGTAAGTTCACTTGACTGCTTTTGCTTTTTTCTGCCATATCTTATCTCACATAATTTCTTTGCTGGTATTGGTTTGATTCTGTTTCGACAGATTTTGAGATTGATATGAATGGCAAACGATTTGCTTGGCAGGTAATATACATTAGTGATGCTTTAGAGTGAAGTGGGGGGGGGGGCTCAATGTTTTTTTTTTTTTCCTAAAATATAATTTCGTGGAATGCCTTTCAGGGCGTTGCCAAGTTGCCATTCATTGATGAGAAGAAATTACTTGCTGCAACTAGGAAGCTTGAAGGCACATTGACGGTCTGCAAAAGGAATTTTTTTTTTTTTATTATTGTTAGTAGCAGCAGTTAGTAGTTACCGAAACAAAAAAAACAAAAAAACTATAAGTTGGCAATTAGTTCTATGCTGAACCTTAGAAGAATTTTTAATAGCTAGTTGTATTCTATGGCTTGTTATCTTCCTCATCTCTAGAGCTAGGAACTCGGGCGGGCTGAGCCCGAATAAGCCCAAACCCAAACATACCCGACTCCTCGAAAAGCCCGAATAGCCAAGCCCGGCTCGAATACCCGAATTTAATTTTTAAAATTATTTTTAATTATTTTTTTACTTTGAAATTAATTATTTTATTTTATAAAAAATATAAAATATATTTTTTTAATACTTAAATGATGTCTAGGACTCAAATATATGGTATTTTAGTATAAAATGATTTAAAACTTAAAGAATTAATTAATATTTATTATATTATATATATTTTTTAAAAATATAATTTTTTTTATTCGGGCATTCGGGCCAAGCCCGATCGGGTTCGGGCTTGGCCTGATTTTTTTTTTTCCCGAACATTAAAAAACAACACCTTTTTTTTAAGCCCGGCCCTAAAATTTTTCGGGCCAATTCGGGCTAGCCCATCGGGCTTGGCCCGAATTACCGGCTCTACTCATCTCTATGCTTCTCTTTAAGTTTTGAATAGAAGATCAATTAGAAATTTATTCCATATTTTCAATGTTCAACTAAAATGTGGGTTTGTACTTTGCACGTAGTCTACAGCGAACTACATTGTTTGTGGCTTATATGATCAGTGCAATTTCCCATAGAAGTTATATCGTACATGGATACATATATAGATTTCTTACAGATTAGTTAGTTATCTGCAGGCAGAGGAGCAACTTCGGAACAGTGTGATGCTGGACTTGCTTTATGTCAGCCATGAACATGCCTTAGCTCCGCATATTTTCTTGTACTACCAAATTTATCATCAATTAGCTCCGTTTGAAAGGCCTGCTTGGTCAATTGACACAAATGCTAGGTTGGTGAATGTGTTGATGGTCACTATTCATGAATTACAAATAGTGTTTAATCAACCCCCCCTTTTTTTATATTAGCAGTGGTGGAATGAATGGATATCTTTGGCTGAGTGAAAGAAATGGGTTGAGACCCATCGTATTCTCCCCTATCAATGGATTGCCAGATATTGAGCATAACCAAGTCCTGTATGTTTGTCTTCCATGCCCATTAAGTACCCCCTCTATATGTAAAGTTCTTTAAGACAATTTGTGCTGAGTTTTTTGTTTGGGCTGAATTTCAGAAATATTACTTATCTTAATCCTCATCGTAGTCACAGACACATCCCAAGGCCTCCTGCTGGTGTAGTCATGCCCGAAAAGGTGTGTATATAGTGGCTGCTTTAACACTGGCAACTATGTTTATTGGGCCTCTGGTTCTGAGTTTGGCTGGCATGGATGGACTCACGTTTTGACTTGTCATTAGATTTAGCTTTTTTATTTTGTTTTTAATTCTTTTAATCAAAAATGAAAAATTACATACTGATCTTTTTCTAATTTTCGGATCGCTAATGCAGATCACATTTACCTTGGCATTTTTTGTCTGCAGATTTTAAAACCCATTGATATCAAACCTTTCCCTGTTCTATGGCATGAAGATAATGCAGGTCGAAGATATGGAAGGGAAAGGTGAGAATCTATTGCTGAGGTTCACAAATTTCTTTTGATATGCCTGAGATGTGGTATTTGTATCATGATTGCTGCATCTTACTAGTAATGATAAATGTTTAAGCCGGTAGAATTCTTATGCATGGAGACACATACTGAAGAAAGCTTGTCGCCTTACTTTTTGCATCCAATGCATCTTACAGGCCACAAGTACCTGGAGCAATAGCAGGCCCTCAATTGGGAGAAGCGGCCCATCGTCTTGTCAAGAACACCCTTAATATCAAATTAAATAATGCATCCTATGGCTTGTTGGAGCAACCTTATCAGACCAGTCCTAACCATCACGCAATGAACAGGCACCGAGCAGCTGGATCCTCTGGATATGGAAAATGTTATGTGGACGACGCAAGCAGCTATTATGCACATAATCATCATCATCAGGGAATGATGAGCGGCAGGCTTAGATTTCCGATCTCATCTAATGGTGGACAAAATGACAGACAGAATTTTAGGATACAAGATAGGTCGCAGTACCCAGAACAATTCCATAACATGAAAACCGGGTTTTCTGCTATGACAACTACCATGGTTTCATGCAAGCCACCTCCAATGTTATTGAGACCGCCTAGCTCAAGGTCAGCATCCAATCTACAACATGTGCCGAGCATGGGGCCTCCGATACCCCCTCCAAAATGGATTACGAATGGAATAAATAGTAGACATCATGATCCTGCTCATGGCATAACTTCTGATAAGCAAATGAAGAAAGTTTACCAAGTTAAAACACGTCATGCCCAAAATATGCCAGAGCAAGCAGAGCGATAGTGATTGGTGTTAGATCTTGTTTGCCTGTGTTTTGGCCGCAGTTACCTTTCTGCTTCTTTTTCATAATGGAGACACCAAGAAATTAGTCGCCCAAGTTCGCTGATCCTTTTCTTTTCAAATCTGTGGGTGTTGAATTTGGGGGCACCGGGAATTAATCTGATGACAAGCCAAATGCAGAGAGCAACAGATGGTGAGGGTAAATCCTGAATGCTGATTTTCACAACAGTGCGCTCAACTAGTGAGGTACGCCCTTGATGCTAGACCAGGCTCTGCCCGGCGCAATTTTTTTTAACTCATCAAATGATATTTATGAGGCTTTATGGGCGGATGGGAAAATTAATTGGCTTGTGTGCCCATTATGTGGGCCATAGCATGACTGTAGGGTAGTGCACTGTATATGTAAAACCCCTTAGGACTTCTGTTAAAAAGAAAAAAAGAAAAAAGAAAAATAGGGATGATAAATTTGCTGATATCGTATTACGCTAGTGTGAATAGCATACCCATTGTTCTCTAGTTTTTAGCTGCCGATGTAAGTATTGGTTCCATCACAGTTAGGGACAGACTGTTCGTTCAAGACTCAGTTTCTTTCTATATTCGCAAATTTTCAGGCGCACTTGTGTGACGTTTATCGATTAAGACATTTACTCCAAAGGATTTGATTTTATACTGTGCATGGCTTAAATGACGTTTTATAAAATTTAATTTAGATTAGACTAGATTCTTTATGCTTTTTCAAATCAAGTTTTTTAATTGAAACATAGTATGACTTGCTTGAATCTTTTTTGCTATTATTTAAAGTGTATTCTTTCTGTTAAAAAATGTAAGATATTTTGTAAAGAATTGGATGTTAAAAAATGTAAGACATTTTTAGTCGTGTAATCATTGTCTTTTTTTCAAAAGTATTTCTATTAATAAATGATTTTATATTTATTGTAGGTATTTAGTAAGGATAAATATAAAAAGATAAAATTAATTTGAAAGTAAATAACTATTTTAGGAGTTGAAATTTGGTTAAAAATGCCTTACAGTTTTTAATAAAGGGAGTATATAACAATAAACCTGTAAAAATTTCAGAAACTTATCTTTTCATCAATTCACTCACTGCATCAGATGTGTTACTTGCAATTTGCTTTTTCGTTCCAGGGGCCTGCCTATTAACTTTTGCTTTCAATCCTGGGGAGTTTTTTTCTTACGGTAAAATTTAAGTGATTTTGAGTTGAGAGCTTTCTAAATTCAAAAAATTTACGGATATATTTATAAGTTGTCTATTAACAAAATTCTCAAACAATAGCTTCATTTAAATTCGTGACCTTATAAGCTATGAACAAAAATTGACATGCCATTACAACCAAACGGTTGCCTGGTATCTAGTCCATGGAATGCCAGAAGCCATTGCTTTTCCGAATTTATCTACCCTCGCCGGATTATATTATCAACGAGCGCCTAATTCAATAAACCCACGTTCAGGCCCCAAAAACCCATGAACCCACCTTAAGAACTTGAAACCAAGTATTGAAAATCAAATTAATTATTAAACTGAGTGAGGTAGTTGTTCAAGGGTTAGGGGTCTTACCAAAGATTAACCCTGAATCAAATTGATCAAGATTAAAATAATATAAGATTAAATATTCAAAAATATTTATGAGAGATCATAATATTTAAGTAAAAATCATCAGTTCTTGAGTAAATGAAAAATTTATTCATGAAATATTGCATGTCTTATAGAAATAATAATTAAAGTTTTTGACAACAATAAAACATAATTACATTAAAATTATTAATTAAAAAATTTATATTTGATTTAGGGCTTAATGTTCAAAAATAAAGGAGAAAAAAAGAAAATAATAAGATTTGACTTGAGTCAGCACATTAATCCACCAGGTTGGCCAACTTTGTTTAGGTTGAAGTCAGTCTGATCGAGTTGAAACTGAATCATAAATGATTGATTTTTTCAATCAACCGAATCGATTAAGTGGTCAGTTTACAGGTCAACTCACTTGAATTGGTTTGGGTTTACATAACAATGCTTGAAATAGCTTGAACAGCCAAATTCCCATTTTCCAACAACACAATTGAAAATTATAACTAGTCTATGAATTTAGCCACCATGATAGGAGACATTCAGAAAATGATCAGGGCATCAGTCATAGATAAAGGTGAAAATAGGCGAGCTCGCCCTTAAGAGTTCAGGCCTTAAAGTCCGGTTATCCAAAATTTGACCTATTTTTAAGACTCAACTCTTATTTACATGGCTTAAGGCCTGACTCTTGAGCTTTCTTTCTCACAAAAAAATTATTTTAATTTAAATAAACTATTCTAAAATTTAATATAAAATAAATTAAAATCTTACATAAAATTCAACATAAATTCGACAAAAATTTACAGTTTTAAATTTAAGATAAATATTAAAATCTTCATTAATATAAATTAAAATTCTCCTCATCGTTATTTAAAAATAAAATATTAAATTCCTTAGATATCGATTCACTTATTGAAAATAAAGATACAGATTTAATGTTAATTATTTCTACAATTTCTTTTCATCACCTACAATAAATGTTAACCAAATTATATCATTTTTAATCAAATATATATATGCATGTATATATATATATAATAACTTAATTTCTCAAGGCTTGAAAGGCCGCCTTTGTCCAAACTCTTTTTAACAGGACTTATTAGAACCAAGTCCTCAAGCTCAATTATTTTAAAAAAATTTAACTTTTAAAACGCAAACTTTTATTTAAATAGAACCTTTAAACTCTGCTCTTATTCTCGGCTGTACCATAAAAACTCTGTTAGAGAATTCCCAAGGGCGATTCGAGTGGTCCAACAGATGCAAACATTAAAGACAAGTCGCTTTTAAGGATCCTCCAGCATTCAGTGAAACGGCATAACGTGAGTTCAAAGCTTGAGTGAATCTCCGAAGGCAATAGTGCGATCACACAACATATCGTATCAGGGCGCAGTGGTGAGGTTATCCATCCAGAAATATAACAATGGGCATCTGAATCTGATAACTAGTAATCACACAAAATCAATAGGGAATAAGCAATCTATACTTATAGATTTGTCAATGGACCTTACTAGAATTTCCTAGCAACAAAAACCTCAGGCAAAACGACTACTTTGTTCTTTTTTGGAGGATTAGAAGCGGTAAAAAAAAAATTCTGATCAGAGTCAGATACAGATTTAACCGTTCAAATTAATGCACAAAATTATAGTGTCAATTATGAAATGTGAATGCGTACGAATGTCAATCATGAAATGTTAAGGAATATATTGTTTCCCATCATGCGCCAAATTCAACTTTTTTCGCCAGAATAATAACAGATTATCTTTTGGATAATGAAATCCGATCTAGAATTCGACTGAAATATGCTGCTATACAACAAATAACAATAATACAAAAAAGCAAACCGGCAAGCCCCGAAGACATGCAATTTTGAAAAGCAATTCCTTCTGAGTTCTGCCACAAGAAAGAGTAATTCTTTCCTCGAGAATGTGCCACTATACAAACACTCGCTAGCGCATCCTTTACTGCATATCATATGAAATGATGGCATCCCTTTAAAGTACATCCATTTTAAGCTGACATTTTATTCGACAACCGTCCTATAAAATCAGCAAAAGATAAAATTGAAAGAAAACTACTAGCTAAGCTATCAACCCAATGATAAATTACCAAGCAAATCTTTATGGACTAAACAACAGACATGAAAAGGGACAGGAAGACAATCACTCACAATAAAAACACCTTTAAATTAAAAGCCCTGGTCATCGTCCAGCGGATCGCAACTCCTCCAGCGCAGCCTTGATCTGATCCTGCACCAACTCCAGCCGCTTCGAGTACACCTCCAACTCCAGAATCTGTTGCTTCCTCCACTTGTCATCTACCGTTTCTCCGCCGCCGCAATTCATCAAAGATGGCACACCGAAGCTCAATGGCATAGGATTTAATGTCAATCCTCCAAACCCCCTAGCCCCGAATGGGCCACCCATGGCATTACTCACTATCTCCTTGAACAAGGGCGACAAACAACTCCTCACCGTCTCCTCAATCAAGCCTGGTATGTTATGGTTATTGTTATGATTATTATTAGTATTAGCATTACTATTACTAATACAATAATTATCTTTGTTTGACGCCAATCCATCATTCAAGTCGCGCTTCTCATCCGTTCTGATCCCGGATCGAGACCGCGAACGTTTCCGGGACGACGGCGTTCTCTTCTCTTCAGGAATCCCAATTATTACCTCATTCTTGGGCTGTGAGTGGCTAAAATTAGGGTTAGGGTTAGGGTTAGGATTGGGGCTGATTTCGTCGTCATCCAGAGCGGTATCTTCGGCCGCAGCGCCGGTCGAACCCAAATTGCTCCAGATCTTACGAGAAATTTCGAAGGTGGCTTGATCGTGGGGGCTCTTAAAGGACAATTCTTTGCCGGCACTAATCTTATTCAAAACATTGCGGTATTTCTTCTTCAACCTCCGGAGCTTCTCGACAAGCTGGTTTTTGTTGAACTCGAGCTGAAGCTTGGACTTGATTTGATCGTAAAACAAAGCGGTGTCGTTATGGTGGGAGGATCCTCGCTGAGTGGTGTAGTCAAGGAAGCCCTGCAAGAGCTCGATCTCGTCCTCATCGGTCCAAAGACGTTGAAACAGTCTGCGTGAATCGTCCAGAGGCTTTTTCTCTTCGCCGGAGTCAATCCGCGGACGCTTGCGATCGACGGTATCAGGGACGACAATTGTGGTAGCGGCAATCGTGGAAATTGGGGCAGCAGCGCCGTTGGAGGTAGCAGAGCCGGGGACGGCGACAGTGACGGTGGCGGAAGGGTCGGGGACGGTAACGGCGAGGGCAGAAGAGGTGGAAGGAGAAGCTTCGCGATCTTCGTCGTCGTCGGGTTCACCAAGAACGTCGTCGTCGTCGTCGTCGTCCTCGTCCTCTTGAGATTCGTCGTCGTCGTCGTCAAGGTCCTCTTCGGGGAAAACGGTGTCGTGCTGATCGGATGCCATGGGAGAGAGAAGAGGTGGTGGGGCTGGGGGAGATTTGATTTGGTTAGTATGGTTTAGTTGAGTTGGGGTTGTGTTATGCGGGGAGGGCGGGCGAGGATGGTGAGGTGAGCTGGTTGCTTGGCGTGACGGTATTGGAGCCACCTCGGATGATGACGGCCACTCCCCCAACCAAACCGAACCCAGCCCACTTTCTCTCTCCTGTTTTCTTCTTTCTTTGGTTTTTTTTTTTTTAAGTATAATTTAAGTTAAGGAGTTCAATTCAAAAAAAAAAAAAAATCGTTTTCTGGGGCGGTGGGCAGATACAGGGCGGAGTTACGGGGTTTCGTTTCGGTTTCACTCGGATGCATGCCAAGTTGACCAACGGCATCGAGCAGTTAATTCATACAGCTGGAACTTGAAACTTACCTTTTTAGCCAACACATTGAGTATTGAGTATTGACAGCCTCCTACTTAGCAAACAATTTCACGCAAATGGACGGTGGACTTCTTCACATGATTTTTGTTCCTCGTTTCTACTGTGTAAATAATTGCTTCTTATCTTGCCTTTCAATACGCTTCCCATTTCCCATTCTCCCTCGCCAACCTTTACCTTGACGCTTGCTCCCTTGTATTTTTATTCATCTCTAATTTTCTCACCAGAATCAAAGAGTGATGGTTAAGTTATTAATTCTTCATAAAAAAAAATAAAATTTTAATCTTATCTCTATCTAAATAAAATAGATAAATTTATGATTTAGATTTGATGAGTTAAAATAGAGATAATATTAAAAAAATATAATTAATATTCTTAAGCAGCTTATAATATTATAGAGTCAAAAATCTTTTTGAAAAGTACCCCGCCGAAATTATGATAAGCAACCACGGAGTATATGAAAAGAAATCACTTTCACAACAACTTTTAGGGGAATTTTTATAATTATATAATTTATGCTACCATTGCATAAAATATTATTTTAATTGCGGGGACTCTGTTAACGCGAATTTGTATTCTGCCAAAAATGAAGTTGCTTTATTATTTATTATAGTTCTGTTTCATTATATCGTAATAAACCACACAGAATGTAGCACGTCATGTTAAGAGGCTCCCAATAAAATACTTGTTTGCTACGTCTCAAGTACTCGGGAAACTTTAACTACAATAACAAAAACTGAACTGGAACGCTGACATGCATAAATAAATGGATTGGCACCTTCGAACCTGCACTCCTTTTGCTTCAGGAGTTGTTATTAGTACACGGATGGAGCCACGGAGCCCAATTAGTGATCAGTTCAGATACTTCCAACTCTTGGTAAATATTTTATTTCTTGAAATCAAAGATTCATCAAACTAATATTTGTCAGAAACAGAAACCTCCCTGAAGGAATTACAAGTTGTTTTCATAGTCCAGAAGGAAAAACAATCAGTAAAGAGTGAACTTTGCCTTGGTCTTCTCAAAGACCTGTTCTGCAATGACGGCACCGGTGCCGTCGGCCTTTTTGATCTCCAGGTGAGCTTTCTGATAAATTCCGGTTCCCCTCAGTGCGTCTGCAATGAAGTCATCGAATCCAATTGCTATCGCAGCTTCTGCTTTGGCTCCATACACCAACCGCTGTTTCAGCACAAAAAACCATGAAAAATTTTGAACTTGGATTCGTTTTCTTAACTAGAGGAGGACTTGACGCATGAATACGAAATGAGGAGAACCTTCACCTTAATTCTTGACAGATGAATTGCTCCAAAGCACATTGGACAAGGCTCACATGATGCATATATTTCACAGTCAGAGAGCTCAATTTGATTTAACTTTCTACAAGCCTACAGATCAAGTCATTTTTAAATTCAACTAATGAACGAATGCCAAGACGAAGCATGTACAAAGAGACGAAGAAGAAAGAAAAACTGGCTGAATCCAAATTGTGCCTATGAGCATAAGACAAGAGAATCGTGAATAAGAATAAAGAGGATAGAGCATATTAATCAGACCTCTCTAATGGCAGTAACCTCAGCATGAGCGGTGGGGTCAGTGTTTCTTAAAACCATATTATGACAGCCTACAACAACGTCATCATTTCGAACAACGACAGCGCCAAATGGACCTCCATCGCCACATTCGACCCCTTTATACGCTTCTTCCACTGCTTTTGCTAAGAACTTGTGGTCTCTATCCTGTACAGCTGATTTGACAGGACAAGGTAACACTCGCAACTTCATGGAATAAAATGTCTGGCAGTACATAACCATGTAACCAACCCCTCTAACTTCCTATGTGACACTACTGTTGAAAAATGAGAAATAATGATCCATGTGGATAAAGCAACAAGATAAATATTTCAATCCATTAATTTAGGAAACAATTCTTCAATGGACGCAGATCAAGCAGAGAATGTAATTCCCTGAATAACAACAACAACAACAACAACAACAAGCCTTTATCCCTGAATAACAACAAATGACACAATTTTGAAGGCTGCTGCTGTTAGGATATTTTACATTTGGATGCAAGGCTACTAGAAAGTTTGTAACAAAACTTCAGCTCTCTTTCTTCTCGTCACTCAAGTCAAGTTATAACGTTAGCATGGTGATGCAAGTCACGGAACTTAGATCATCAGTAAACACAGAGACAATAGCCCTATCTATACACAGCCTTCGTGACTCAATCCGTCAAAGAGCAACAACTCTACACTTTCCTCTCACATTCATTAATCCAATTAATACATTCTATTAGATGGAAGACCATTTATAAGCATAATCACTCGAATATTAAAGGGTCCATCAATTTTGGTTAAAGTACATCTCAATATTGAGTACACACTACATGGTTTAGACTAAGTAATTATTATATCAATTTAATACTACTAACTATAATTGTCTTATGATTTTTCTTAGTTTGTAATCTTATGGCCTTTCATATTTTGTAATTTTCATGCCAACTATGTCTGATTGCCTATCACATGCCAGCTTTTAACAACTTCGCGTCAATCCCGTACCTTAATATTAAGTCACACGTTAAGATTATCATAAAATCTAACTAATATGAGATGCAATGTTTCATTTTTCCAGGTAAAAGATGCAGGTAAATTGATCATACCTTCCTGGAAACCGGCAAAAGCAGAAGCCACAGAAATCGCCCCTTCTTTAGATTCCACCACTATGATCGAAAACAAGGCAGTAGAAAGTGAAGGCTGTAAATTCCTCCAGCCAGAAGACTAAAATTAACAGAATGTATTGTCGTATGATGGTCATACAACACCACAGAATTGAAAGTTACCACGGATAACTGATGACGAGGAGAATGGTTAAAAAGTATATAATACTCCGTCGGTCAGATTTTATAATACGGATCTTCATATTATAACACACAGACAAATCAAGCTGATTATTAAAAAAAAAAAAAACATAACCTTTGGTCCCTCTAGTATTATTGAATTTTACTTTTAATCCCTGCAGTCTTTTTCAGTATTTTCAGTCCTATAATTTTCAAAAAATTGGGTGACGTTTATTTTTCAGGTCCATATAGTTTTAGTTTTTTCACAGTTTTCATTCTCTGTTAAAAAAAATTATAAAAACTAAAAACAAAACTCAATAAAACTAAAAGTACAAAAGATTATATTTTCGCTGAAAAAATGTACATGACAAGCCGTAATTCAAGAATAGTTATTTATTGGCCCTTCCAGGGCATCCGACAAAATTGGAAGAATAGTTAAACTTTACTTGCAGAAAACTCCATAGACTTTAAGCCTCTGAGTACAGATAATAAACACCTATTTTTCATAGTCATGTCACTGGATGCAGATGGCATTTGTGTTTTGAATCGGTTCAGCATTGAATTGGCTTCACGTTGTTACTCATAACAGTTTCTGCTCTGCATCTCCATCTTAACACAGTTCCTTCATCAGTAATTATCCAACTTGGACTGGGCTTCTCAGCCATAATCAAAGCATTTTCTGCTTGGATAACGCACAGGAAAGACATCCAATTTGACTCCGCCGAAGAACATTTTCTTTAGCAGGTCCAGAATATCGATAAAAGTAAAGAAAACAAACACAAGATTAAACTGGAGATTAGTTAACAAGGAATTTACCATTGGCGGCAGGCGCAGCAGTATTATCTTCCATGAGATGAATAAGAGGACAAAGAAGAGAATCTAGGGAATAGGTGTTCGAGAAACAGATGGAAGCGAGGGGATGAAGGAAAAGAGCAAAAAGAGGAGGAGGGAAAAACAGGACCACGAATTATACAGATGGGATGGGAGAGAGAAAAGGCTGAGCCAGAAACCGAGAAGGAAACGAGAAAGAAAGAGATAGACGCGTCATATATTTATTATTACATTATTTTGGACCAGTGACGAATCACATTTCGGCTTTTCTCATTATTCAGACACTGTACCAGCGGGAAATTCTCTCATGATATTCTTTGACCAAATCAAAATAAAATCAATCTCAATACTCATCATGCAAATAAATATTAGAGTATTGAGAGCATATCGTCTTAAGCTGTTTAAATTTAATCTGAATAATCTAAATTTACGGTTTTTTACTTTAATTTTTTAAAAATCATTTTAATGGATATAGAATCTATAACAAAGACAATGTTTTAACTATCAATTTAAAAAAAAACAATTTTTATTTAAAAATTAGTTAAAAAGCTATAAATCTACATCATCTTTATTAATTTGAACTGAATCGATGAGCTCCTATTATTTATATGTATAATAAACATTGAAATTAAATTCAACCAAAATGCATCTTTAATTTTATTATCGTGGCATCTGCACCAAAAAAAAGAAAAGTCTTATTATTCGGGCCCAAAAGGTCTTTAGTCTTATTATGCTCCAAGAGTACTAGAATAGTAGAATGTTCGTTTCTTTTTTTGAAAAAAAAAAGTAAAAATATAAAACATCTTTATTAACTGCATTAGTCTCTTGCTATTATTGATAAAAAAATAAAGTATATTTTTAATTCTCTAATTTCATATGAAGTTTTAAGTTATCTTTTAATTTTATAAAATATTTTTTTAATCTTTTAACTTTAATATTATTAGTTTCACATGATTTTTTTGCCAATCATTATTATTTTAAAAAATTAAAATTAATCTGTTAATATTTAAAAGTTTAATGTAAAAATTTGCTGTGATAAAATTAGTAGTGTTAGAGTTGAATTATTAAAAAAATATTATGTAAAATTAAAAAATTAAATATATACTTTAACATTTTGATAAATATTGAAATAGATTGTCTACGCTACTCTTTAGAACGATAATCTCGGTCCTGCTTTTCATACTTACCAAAGGTGTGGTTGAAGAGGGGGAAAGGGCATCCACCCCACCTCTCTCTGTTTTTCCCCTTTGCTACAATCAATTTCTTTTCTAATTGAATTTATTTTTTTATAGCTATATTTGGGATTTTTTTTTTTAACAGGATGGGGTGGCTTAAAGATCTGGATCATCACGGAAACAAAGTAAAAAAACAATGAGAGGGTTAACATGGTCAAGAATGACCGCTCATGGGTTGGGCTATGAAGTTAAATAGTTAATTTTGGACCAAAAGCACCATCCCTAACTTAATTTTTAGTAGCTAGAAAACCAAGTTTCAAGACATCCTCTTAAAGAGTCAAGGCTCAAACAGACTAATATTATTGCCTGATTATATTTTGGAGCTCCGTTTTGATCAGTCCAGCTTTAGTCCTTAGGGTCTCAACCCTTTTTTTCATTTTTTGTAATTTAAAAATTTATTTAAAATCACAAAAAATTTATCACACATAACATTAATTTTAAAAAAATAAATTTAAAACAATCTATAAAATAACAAATTTATATCTAATAAAAATAGAAATATTATAAAATCAATATCGATAATAATTAAATTTTCTTAACATCATTGTTATGAACATTAATATAATTTGATTCTTTTCCTTGGGTTGAAGTCTAAAGAATTAATCAAAGAGAGAAGGAACGAGAATTCACTTGAGAGTTTAATGAAATGAAATTAGGTTTTAAACTTTTAGTGATATTTAATTTTTTTTATATTAAAATTAAAATATATATATATATATAGGGCTTAAAAGGAAACGAGCCACCTGGTCCTATATTTTATCGAGCTTAAAGGACTGACTCATCTGATTGACGACTCTAGCTATTACATAACACTTCCACTCTACGTTTGCGCCATCCTTTGTTTTCAGGTCATTTCAATCTCTCAGACCCAATACTAAACAGTGTATTCATTTTTTGAAAGTTCTGCAGAGCTCTTCTCCAGCTTCATGTTGGGTTTTGTTTGAGTTGTTGTATTACATTTCTTTTCGATGGTCCAAAATATCACGCGACTGAGAATACATTTACAAAATGAGGTAAGGGTCACTTTTGTCTTTCATCTGCACGCCAAAGGTCACTGAAGATCTTATATCCAATTATAAGTTACTTTTATCCTTCAATCCCTAGGTGTACATGCACTTCACGAAGAGCTACTGCATCACTCTCACTCCCTCTCCTTCTCGTTCTCCCCTGCCTTTTTTTTTTCCTCAGAAGCAGAGATATCAACATAACAGTACAACCCTTTTGTTTGTACTATATCTCCAGCCATTAAATATAAGTTTCCTTGCAAGTAGTAATGGAGATCATAAGGTGTGTGGCTGTATATATACTCTATGAGGGCCGCGTGAAGATGTTTTGAGGCATAAGGCAAAATTATTAGTAAAATCTAGCAGCACTGCAATTATTTCTTCAAAAAAAAATGCACTTATCATTTTTCACAAAATTATATATTAAAATTTTATAATATAGTGATTCTAATAAAATACTAAATTAATTTAATAGTTAAATGAAAATTAGTGTTGATAAAGTGTTCCTACCCCATCTTATATATTGGGATAAAATATTAATAATAATTTAGGATGGCAATACATTTTTAACAAAAAAGATATAATTAAGACTAATAATACTAATGGTTAATGTGAAAAACTAATAATAATTATAAAAATTAGAAAAAAGATTTTTAATAAGGCTTTAGAATAAAAAAAAAGGAAAAAATGAAGAGTTAGACTGTGAGAAGAATTTAATACGAGCTAATATAGTATAAATTAGTATCTTATAAATCTCACTATTTTTTTTATGTAAATAATGAACTTAGCTCAATAATTAATGTTATAATGGGAATAATTAAAATTTTTCAACAGAAAAAACAATCAATATTTTTTATTCTCTTTTATCTACAATTAAATATATAATAATATAAATATTAATCATACACACAAATATAATAAGGGTATTATTTTTTTTTTTTTTTGAAAGCCTGAGGCAATTACCGCACTTGCCTTACGCCTTCGACGGCCCTGCACCCTATCGTGCAGACGCTAGCTTGAGATTTTGTTTTATCAACATAAAGAGGTGTCTGGAATCCTCAGAGGCTACCTCACTAATCTAGCTGTTGGGCTTGGCCCCTTTTTTGTCAAAAAATATATATAGACATTAGAACAAGCAAGTCATGTTATCTGTTAGTTATATAATCATATATTGCTAGTTTTATCGAACTCTGTATGCAGTTACGTACTTAGCTTGTCCGGCTGTAACTTCATAATGGTCATTGAATCATTTTTAGAGTTGAGAATCCTTGGAGGCCGTGGAGCTAATTTGAGCAGCGTGAATGGTGCATTGGCGGAGAGTGTACAATTGAAACTAAGCTTCAGCCTGAAAGATGGAGGAGAGGGGAGAGAGGGGAGAGGAAGGGAGAGAGAGGATACGGGACGAGACTCAAAGCCACTCAGGAGAGCGGGGAGAAAAAGAGGGGGGGGGAGATAGTGGGGTGAATATTTTGTAACCAACAAATATTTAAAAATTACCAAGGGCCCACTGACAGAATCTTGTGGCAACAAACTCATGAAAAGATGGCAGGATGGAATCTTGACCGTTTAAGATAAAAAATGATTTTGAGTTTAGAATTTTTTATATTTTTATCCTTATTAAATATTTTAAATAAAATTATCAATAATAAAATTTAAGAATATTATTAGGAATAAAAAAAAAATTTATTAAATTTCAAGATAAAGTTAAAAAGATTTAAATTTTTTTAATGTTAGTTAAACATTTTAAAAGTAACTTATAATAAGATAAGAGGAAGTAACTTTTCATGAATAATTAAGAAATAAAAATGGCCATTAAATCTTACAAAATTAATTCACATAAAACAAGCATAAAACTCGGTGTACTCTCCAACGAATGAAACGCTGACAGTGATCTCAATAATTTTAAAAATAAATTAAATTTTTGTGGAAGAAAGTCAGCATGCATGAGCAGACCTCATGTAAATGGAATCCAACTGCCTTGATTTTTGCCAATAACACCGAATAATATTCTATGGTGAGTCACGCCGCGCGATTCATATTTTTCTCTTATTCTTGACATATCCTTTCTCTTTTGAAAACGACTCTATTATCATGATTGAGATTTGAGAGACAAAAAAGGGCAGGGCAAAAGGTTGAGAAATCGTCTCGTTTGCTGTGGCCCAGTAGGGATTCACCGACACCAATTCCAATTTTCTCTTGCTCAATGTCCGAAGATCATTTGCAAGTCAAACTGTAAAACTGTTTTTTTTTTTTTAATTAGAAGGGCAGGTATTAAATCTTATTTTTAGATTTAGATTTGAAACTAGATTACCTGACACTAATAGTGATCTACTAAACGGAGAGGCTCCAGTCAACTGGCGCCTTAATTTTCAAATGGATAATGCATAGTGTAGACACAAACCTTAGTGAAAAGAAAGGAAGAAATAATAGCAAAAGGCTGGCAACCAACCGTATTCATTGTAATATTGCGTTGTCCCTTGGAATCTTACATAGCCTTGCATACGAGCCTCGGCTATGTCATTCACTATTGCTCGCATGATCCCTCCGGCCTCCATAGAGTTTGCTGTTTCTAAATTAATTTATCTTAGAGGAGAAGAGTCTATGTAAGGGTATATAAAATATATGAAAGAATCTAGTCTAGTGTGTTTTATATATCAACAGCATCGACTGGGAGGGAAACTGTCCTGCGTACATAGAGTGGAAGCAACGACCCTTCATCCAAACTCTTTGTACAAACCATACCTTCTCCGTGGAAACCCATCGCCTCACAAGTTCGGGCCCTTTGGGTGTCCGAGTTGGGGCGGCTCCTATTGACAAGAGAATGGCAACTAGAACCACAACTCCCATTATTAGTGAAGGATTTCGTATGAATCCCATGGTTGCCTCTGTTTAATGCGTCTCTCGGTGAGAGGGACAATGACATCATGCCATATTCTTTGTTGTCATTTCTGTCACTAGTTTGTGAGGACTTCGTCATCCCTAACTGTCGGTCCCTAAGTTCCCTTAACTCGATTTGATACGTTGCTCTGAGCCATCTAAGTTCCTGTTCGATCTCTTTCCCACACTTGTCCTCGAGGTCAAGATACAGTGAACGAATTGTAGATGAGTAATGGAATCCTGATAGAGTAGATAGACAATTTCTTGAGTTGGATGCAATTTTGTTTTCCCTAAAACCCTGTCCCTTATCTTCTGCTGGTGCTTGTTTATCTATTGGTTCATTTTGTTCATCAGAATGGCTAAGTTCAGAATCTACAGGAGTGATCTCGCAACTTTCCTGTTGTTTCCACAACTCCTGACACTGCAAGCAGTCTGGTTGGGTTGATGTGTTTGAAGCATCCTCTCTAGCATGATCTTCATACTCAGACTGGAACATAATCTCCTCAAACCGCCCATGCATTGAAGCACATCCATGCCTACAGCATGGAAGAAGTTGCGAGTTCTTGGCACCAGACTTATGTGGCAGAAAATCCATAAAGGAGCCAGTTGATGTATGATTCGATACACAATTTTGACAGAACTTTTGTTCTGTGAAGCGAGGAGTTTCTTCAAATCCTGGTCCTGGCCTCCATTCAGGCACCAAGGAAGCAATTTCCCCGTCTATCATATCTGATATTCTGGTCACATCTTGATCGGTAATATCAAGTTCTGCAACCATTTCAGTTGCCACACTAAGTGCTGTGTCCATCTCTACGTCAAATGGGAAATAAATATTTCGGATACGACCTGCAATACAGGAAGTCTGGCAACTAAGCTTTAAATAGAGCAATGAAATATGTATCAGGTATATACTATATAGAAACAAAACTCTAGTAAGTGACATTTCAACCTTCTTTATCCGCAATTCTTAGTCTCAAAAAGATGCCACCGTCATCTTTCCTCTTGCCTTTGATGCTTACGTCAACATCTTCAGATGGGTCACCATCACGGTGTTCAAAAAGTTCGATTCCACTTGGTTCAGTGTCAACTGGATGAGAATACCAGTATCCTGGAGCTTCATATCCATAATAATTTGAGTATTCACTGCTTAAGTTACTATAACTTCGGTGAAGATCAAAGAATGGATGCCGGACAAAAGGACCGAAGTCATCAAATTCTCCACTGTCTACTAGTGTCAAATTATAACAATCATCATCAATTTGGAGAAACGGGTCATCGAGAAGCTCCCTTGCTGAGAGCCTTAAAGACACTGTTGCCAAGCATTTCTCAACAAATTGTCGCACTTCTGGATCTTTAACTTTATACAAAGCATCAGGCTTTTTCCCCTGGAGATAAAAAAAAAAAAAAGTCAATGAATTATTACAGCTAATCCGAAGAAATAAATCTCATTTCACTTAGAAAGAGAATCTCTTACAGATATAACTTTCTTGTAGATCTGAGCTGGATGAGTGCATTCGCTATAAGGATATTCAAATGTGACCATCTCTAATATGCACATTCCAAAGGAATATATGTCAACTAATTCATTATATGCCTCTTCATATACTTCAGGGGCCATAAACTCAGGTGTTCCTGTGAAAATAAACAGTAACAGATAAAATTCAGTCTATAATACTCATCCTCGCTTCAATCAACCCTCCCTTTTCTATTAAAGGTAATAGCCACACCACACGTAATTTCCAAAACCAGACGTTAACTAACAATCGCCGGTGTCAAATTGTTTTTTGATACTCTATACTTGTGATATACACTGACATGAGATAGACATACCGACGCAATGAGCAGCATGGGATTTTTTTAGAATTGCTGCCAAGCCAAGATCCCCAATCTTTACTTCCCCTTGGTTTCCATTAATAAAAATGTTATCGCATTTGAGATCTCTGTGGATCACAGGTGGATCGTGGCTATGAAGATACAGAAGTCCTCTCAATATCTGTCGACACCAATCCTTCACTGCTCTGATGTTTACTCTCCTGTGCTTTAGCCTATACCTATTCCGTCGTTAAAAGAAATAGGACAGATCTCAGAATCACAAGAAGAAGAAGAAGTGGAAGGAGGTAATGTAGAGGAGAGAAAATAGCCGGAAATCCAAAGAACTTACTGTCTGAGAGTACCAGAAGTAAACATTTCAGTGACGAAGTTGATATTTCTGTTGGCAGTATCAACCCAAGAAGTGTAAAATTTCATTATGTTTTTGTGCTTCAGGGTTTTGAGAAGATGAATTTCACAGTAGAGCCTCTCAAGGTCTTCAGGGCTTTGCAGGAAATCATACAGCTTGACTTGGTTCCATGCAACTTCAATCCCTTGATACTCATCAAATGCTCTATATCTGTATTAATTGAGGAGCCAAACCGCAAAATCACTAACAAATCTATCAAATTCCCATTTCTACAAACTAGAAAATCAGGAAGCAGCTCAAATTCGGAGGAAATCTCCACAAAATAATCGACTCGAGCACTTCAAAAAACTTGAAATAAAAATAACTATCAGATGCGGATTCCGAACTGAGTTAAGATTCATACACTATCTTTGAAGCTCCTTTGCCGAGGATTTCATTGTACTGCAACAAAGAAAGAAAACATTATTATCCAGCTGAGCGAGGGAACGGGGAAAAGAGAGGAAGAGGAAGAGTGGTATACTCTGCCATATCTGCCGGTAGGATCAACTTCGACGAACTCAGAGTAATCCGGTTCGAAGTGTGCGACCCCGTTCATTCTCTAATCTAATTTGATCTCCTTTTGTTCTGCTGTGATTAGGTCTGGTTTCTGGCTATGGATCCTGGCTTTGTGATTCTGACACAGGAACAGGGGCCGAAAGAGGCAAGGAGAGAGGGAGGGGAAGAGAGGGGAATAATGTTTATTTTCAATTTTCACAAGAAAAAATAGTACTTTTATGCAACCTTTACGGCACATATAAGAATTTTTTTTTAAAAAAAAAAGGAAAAAATAAAGAGGGAATCAAGGAAAGAGAGGTATAAAAGGGTACCAAATAATTCACGAGAGAAGTAGGGGAGATGGTGGGTGTTTGGAGGGGTAAAGAAACAGAGGTGCCACCCCCACCCCAGGACAAATGGAGAAGGGAGGGGGATTCAATGTGAGAAGGGGCTCATCAAAACCGAAAACAGCGAACGAGGGGCCCACGTGTCCGCCCTGCAACTTGAGGCTCGACGGTCGATTCCACTCTCATATCTCATGTATGAACCTTTGCTAAGTTTTTTTATTAATTTTTTAAATTTTTTATATGTCTCTTTTATTGAAGACAATTTCAGCACCTTTCTTCATGAAAATTTAAATCTTTGATTCATTATATTTTTTATGTTAGACCTACCCCTACTGATAATCTATTTTTGTTCAACGGTAATAAACCATGAGCACGTTCTCAGCGCCACATCCATTTTTGAGAGATGAATTGATGTAATCTTCCCCCTTGTAATTTGCGTCGGATTGGCACCTTACAGTGCCATCCGAAGCAATTAATTTTTTAAATTTTTTAAATTAAAATTATTTTAAAAATTAATTTTCAATAATATAAATTAAAATTAAAATTATATTTTATCTTTTTAAAATTTAAATTGTACTCCCCCATTCAATTTATATTTTTTGAAGTTTTGGATGTTGGATGTGAAAAAATGTAGTAAGACTTTTTTAATATTTCATTATATAATTAATTTGTTTTTTTTAAAGTGCTTGTAATAAATAAATTATTTTATATTTAATTTAAAATAAAATAACTTATTATATGAGGATAAATATGAAAATATATGAAGATAATTAACTACTTTATTTAGAGTAAAATTCTGTTAAAAATACTTTACATTTTTAAAATAAAATGTTAATAGTATTTTTTGTATATTTTAAAATAAATTATGTGAAAATAAAATAAATTATTATTTTTATTTGAATATCCTAATAACTAAAAAAATTTCCTATGTTATATTAGGATTAAAAAATATAGTTTTTTTTGTCTTTTTTAAAAAATTTAACTTTCACTCTTCTCTCTTCCGTTTTTTTTTTTTTAACAATGTAGATTAATTCTCTCATAAGCACGGGTCTAAAATTTAGTTGAGACCGAAAAACCATCTCAATTACTATGTTGAATTTTTTGGCCCGCTGATATCTAAATATATTAAAGCAAAATCTTTTAAACTCCACCTGTGTACTTTTTCGGAAATGCTTCAAATACATAGTATTACCTTAACTTCATTTAATTTTATTAACTTATTCACAATTTTAAATTTTTTTTAGTTCCTTTCTCATTATCTCTCCCATGAAACAAGGGATTTTCCCATTTTTATCATCATTTTCCCTCCACTTTTTAATCATGATCATTGATATTATTGCATTAAATAAATTTATTTGAATCATAAATTTAATGAATAGTTATGATTAAGAAATTAAGTAAAAATGAGATTAAAGAAAATGGAAAGGTGCCCTTCTCCTTTCCATCACATCATTGTAACTCCCCATAATCTTGTTTTTATTTTTAAGTATTTAATTTTAAAAACTGAGAGACCATGTCATGATAGAGATATGATAAATAAAATATTATTTATTATGATGAATAATTTAATCACGTTTAAGATTAAGGAAATCATGCGTGTATATATAAGTAGGATGTCAATAGTCTCTTGTTTCAATGGCACCCCACGCCTCTTTGAAAGAGGGAGTTTGTAGGTTTTGTCGATAAGGGATGGGTGTATATAAGTGCGGTGGGTGGGTATATTATTCTTTCTTGGGTAAATCTTCTTTATGGGAGAAGATGTAGGCATGCATGTGTGTGTAGGATGTGTGCGCAATTGATCCATTTCAAATTCAATATATATATATATATATATAAAAATGTAATGACATGTGTCATTTATGCTTTTATTTTTTTTAATATAAATAAATATAAAACAATCTCACTTTCAAATATTTTTTCATTATTCCGACTTTGGTTAATTCATTTATGAATTTAATTTTTTAATTCAAAATTTAGAAATAATAAGTAAATCATGTGTAACTTTCTCATTTTTAAAAAATCTTTCTATTATCCCAACTTCTTAGATCCTTACTTGTAATTTAAATCTTAAGATTAAAATATAAACAAATTCCGATTAACTTGCCTACTCTTGAAAATCTATCCATTATCCTAACTTTCTAAATTTGTATTTTTAATTTTATATCCTCAAAAGCAATTGCCACTTATTTTAATAAAGTTTTTATTTTTCGTACATACAAGCTACGTGAGATAGTTATTTAAACAAGAATAGACAATTTATTGTACGCACTATGTCTACCAAAGTTTATACCATACGTATTGTGCTTCCAATAAATTCCGACTTAAGCTCATTATGGTTATATTAGTATGTGCATCATCTCTCTCTCTCTCTCTTTCAAACCAATAAAGCCTCACTTTTGAGTTTTGATTGAGTTCCTTCAAGATGTATTATGGTCGCTGCAAAATGTGAAAGGTGTGTGGTTCTTATCTACATTTGTCCTTCTCTTTTTTTCCTTAAAAGAAAAAGAATTTCACATTCAATTTTTTTTTTAACAACCTCTTGCCCATATTGTTTAAGTTCATCTTTAAATATGGTTTCTAGCCAAATTTAATGCATTGATGATGCGATTCGTAACCCCACATTTTTTTAGAACTTAACCCCATTTCAATGTTTGCCATATATTTTTTCTCAAGTTCAAAGTTCAATGATGTGTCATTGATACATCTAGTCATACTACAATTGTTTTTTATCATGAAATCTCTTGCTTGATGGAGTTTATTGCTCCCAAGGGGCGTGGCTCTTTAGGTAATTGTATGATTTAAAGTGTTTTGATTTTTATTAAAAGATGGTATTTAGACTCTTTATTTCTATAAATTTAAAACTGAAGTTCAAGATTCACACTTTTGGCCGTGAAGATTATTTATATCATTGATAAGTTTTGGTCGAGTTATGAATGCATCATTAATTCCTATTGTTTTAAACATTCAATTTCTTGCCCAAAAAAAAAATTCACACAGGATCAGTAATGCAACTAAAATAATAGGAAGTTAATAGGATAGAGCTATTTCATATTCCATGTAATATCATAAACAACAATTATTTTCTAATATTTATAGCTTTCGTGACAGTGTTTATTTTAAAATATCATTTTAGAATGCACTTTCTTCAATAATGATGTGATAATAATTAATAGGGAATATAGTTTGATAAAAAATGATTTACTATTGAAAATACTGTTGCATAATTCATACATATTTGATGCCATGACTTATTGTAAATAATATACTATGAATTGCTGATAAAAAAATAGTAATTATGTAATCATGTAATTAGTATCTATTCTTTAAAAAACACTTGTTGATTTATCCAATACCCATGCATGGCAAAGGGTAGATGCTAGTTACAATTAATGTCTATTTGTGGTATGAATGGATTAACATGGAGTGAATATCACTCGGATTGGTCATTTAATAATGATGCAAAGTAAATTGTTTTAGCTGGTAAAAAAAGAAGGAGAAAAAAAGAGAATACATGAAAAGATGAATTGAATCTTAAATTATAGATTCATGAGTGATTAGAATTGTAAATGTGTTTGATATATTTTAAACTTTAAATAATTAAACTTAAGGTAATTTTGTCCTTATCATTACGTCGGAGACACTTCACATTTTAGTTCCCATTTGCACTATGATCTGCTCCACTTTCCACCTTAGGCTAATCTTAAAGCTGTTCATGGTCCAAAATGTCAATTTTCATAGTCCAAAATATCAATTAATAACCTAAAAACATGATTAGTTTAATCAATCCATTAATTTAGGAATTTACCATTTAACAACCTATTAGAATTCATGTTTAAAACTAGTAATAATTAAATTTTGCTATTACTAAATTATAGCACTCCCCCATTTTAATTCATATGATATTTTTTTATAAAATCAATGAAATCAGTTAAATAGTGATTGGAATCTTAATTTTTATTAAATTTTTAAAAATGAATTCATTTAATAAGGGAGAAAAAATATATATTTAATAAGTGAAGTAATAAGGGAAGATTTTAGAATAAATCTCTTTGATGAATTATTATTAGAATAAATGTCATTGATGAGTTATTATTATTTTTGAAAGCATTTTATATTTAAATCACTCCAAAAAAATATCTTATAAAATGGAAAAGAGATGGCAACGACAAAAACATGATTGTTGTGGCAAAAAAAAAAAAAGCATGATTATTAGGCTTTCAGATTCCGTGTGATGACAAATGAATTTCTCCCCGAATACAAACACTAAATCAGTGCATGTTTGGATATTAACTGTAAAAATAACGCTGGGAAAACTCAATTTAGAAAATCCAGTTTTACAAAAGCAACATCTCACTTGCATAAAAATCTGGGCTTGAGGAGCAAAACCAAATTTAGCAAAAGTAGACAAATAAGTATTCAATATAGAAATTTAATTAGTAAACACATGCACGCTGAAATGTTAAAAGTTCAAACCCTGCAAACTGTTTTCAAAATCCACCGGTAGATGCAGCTGACTCGATGGCGCTTGACCCTTTTATTTTCACCTGCTTGTTTATTTATGTTCATGCATAATATTAGGATTTTCTTAACAAATAAAAAAAAGGCATGCTGTTTATATTGCTGGCAAAAAAAAAAATTGTACGCCATTAACTGTGCAAACAACTTTAAACACGGGTGTTTAAATGAAGCACAAATCCGGAACTTAATTGCAGATTTGAAGAATATTTGAAAAAAAATCACATTGAACACTCACTAGAAAAATAAAATTTAACGAGGGACGAATTCTTCGTTAAAAGTCATTTTTCATAGTTAAATTACATTTTAACTAAGAATTTTGTCCCTCGCTAAATTTATAACTAAAAAAAGGCTCGATAAATTTAGTAAGGAATTGTATTTCCCTCACTAATTAGTAAGGGATTTAGTGAAAGATTTAATCCCTTACTAAAATTAGCTAACGACTAAATTCCTCTTTAATACTATTCAAAATTTAATAACTTTAGCGAGGAATTAGTCCCTCACTAAATATGCTTATATTTAAAAATAACTATGCCACATCACCC